GCTACAGCTCTAGTTCGTTTATGTAACACTGCGGGAAGCTCTCTCATCGCACGTGTGTTGTTGGACTCAGGTTCTCAGCTCCATTTTGTCACCGAAAGAATTGCACAACATCTTCGGTTACCGCGCAAAAAGCGCAGCAAAGAGGTAACGGGCATTGGATCTACAACAACGAAAACGCAGCAAGTATGCTGTGTTGTACTAAAATCGCGCCATACAGCATTTTCGTCGACTTTGGAAGCGGTCATCATACCGACAATAACTTCGTGTCAACCCAGCAATCGTGTCAGCATTGAGAAATGGAATTTGCCTAACAACATAAATTTGGCAGATGAACAGTTCTACGAGCCAGCAACGATCGATTGTCTTATTGGAGCAGCGTTATTTTATGATTTGCTTCTCGTCGGTCAAATCAAGCTGCGCAACAATTCGCCGGTTCTGCAGAAAACTAAACTCGGTTGGATAGTTTCTGGCATCGCTAACACATCTGCACCAATAGCTTCATCACCAAAAACCTCATCGTTGAATAAATCATCGGCCTATAAGGCATTTCTCACCATGTCCGAAGAACGAGTTCTCGATCAGCTGTTGCAAACCTTTTGGGCATTGGAAGAACACCACACCAATTCATTAACGTCAGTTTCGCCAGAGGAGCAAGCATGTGAAGATTTCTTCGAAACAACCACAACCAGATGTCCAAAAACCAACCAATTCATCGTTCGCTTACCGTTTAAAGAAGACCCCAGCAACCTAGGGCAGTCATATGACGCTGCTTTCAAAAGGTTGGTATCTCTTGAGTATAAATTTTCTCGCAATCCCGCACTCGCCAACACATATCGTGAATTCATCAACGAATATATTAACAAGGGGCATATGACACTGCTTAATAACCCCGAAGAGGCTCGTAATTTAATCCCCCACCACTGCGTCACAAAGGCGGACAGCAGCACCACAAAACTCCGTGTGGTCTTCGATGCGTCGTGCCGAACTTCGAATGGGAAGTCTTTGAACGACATATTGCTCGTCGGTCCGACGCTACAGGACGATATTTTCGCAATCCTGCTTCGCTTTAGAGCGTACAAATACGTGTTGATGGCTGACATCGCTAAAATGTACCGCCAGGTACAAATGAACTCAGCTGACTTTTCTTGGCAGTGCATTTTGTGGCGAGAATCACCGAACGCTTCTGTGCAAGTGTACAAGCTGCAGACAAAGTCTCTACAACAGTTGGCAAAGGACGAGGCAGAATCGCTACCAATTGGTTCAGTTGTTACGCTCAGAGATTTTTACGTCGATAATCTCATGACAGGTGGCGCCACCACTGATGAAGTCGTCCAAATTAGACCGCAAGTTGTTGAGTTGCTTAAACATGGGGGCTTTCCCCTACGAAAATTCGCCACTAATGACAATTCCATCATCTCTGACATTCCCCAAGTTGACCGTGAAGAAATCGTACAACTCGGTGACGTAGACTACATTAAAACACTTGGGTTGAAATGGTCACCATCGAGCGATAACTTCGTGTTCAGCTACACCGAATCATCGTCGTCTTCGAAAACAACAAAAAGAGCGATTTTATCCCAAATTGCAAGCTTCTTCGATCCACTTGGATTATTGAACCCTATAATAGTTTCATGCAAAATATTAATGCAGCATCTATGGGCACTGAAACTAGATTGGGATGAAAGTGTCCCACAAGATGTTTACACCCAATGGCAAGATCTTCGTCGGCAGCTATCTCTGGTTCAAAAAATCCAAATTCCAAGGTATGTAACTTTCAACACCGCTACTGAAATTCATGCCTTTGCAGATATGCCAGCACGAAGGCTTCGGCGCCTGCATCTACATGGTCACACGCGATTCTAATGGTACGACGTCATCGTTGCTGTCCGCTAAGTCTCGTGTAGCTCCAAAGAAGGAAGTTAGCTTACCTCGACTTGAATTGTGCGTTACATTGCTGCTGGCGGAACTGCTCAAATCAATTATTGACATATTTTCACCAAATCCTGGATCAAGGGAGAGCCGTCGCGTTGGACAGTATTCGTTGCGAACAGAGTAACCAGAATTCAACCATTAACATCACAATTCAAGTGGCACCATGTAACATCAGCCGACAATCCTGCTGACGTCGTTTCCAGAGGAGCATCGGCTCATGACATAATCGCCAATTCTTTATGGTTTGATGGGCCAAAATTTTTACTGTTGCCTCAAGAGCATTGGCCACGTTCATCGTTTGATATACCTTCTGACATACCTGAACAGCGATGTCAACGATTCGAATTGGTTGCAAAGGAACAAAATGATATGATCGCCTCTCACAAACACATAACCAACTTCCAAAAATTTCTTCGGATATTTACGTACGTGAGGTGGATCATTCAACGCAAGCGGGGATTGATGATTACATCCGGCGAAATAGAGGCAACGATAGAAATGGTCTGCAAAAATATTCAGCTATTGTATTTTCGTGACGAGTACCAAAGGATGTTAAAAAATTCACCACTTCATCGATCGTCAAGGCTTTTACAGCTCGCACCATTTTTGCACAATCAACTAATTCGAGTCGGCGGCAGAATAAAAAATTCTACGTTAGCTTTCAACGCCAAACACCCCATCGTGCTGCCCCATGCTCACCCTTTCATTCACACTCTCATCACTTACTATCATCGGCAACATCTTCATGCAGGCGCTCAAACATTGCAAAATATTCTTCGTGACAAATTTTGGATACTCAACGCAAGAAAGGTCATCAGGCAAGTAATACACCACTGCATAATTTGTTATCGCCTTCGCCCTGTTGTCACTGAGCAAATAATGGGGGCACTACCTTCGCAACGCGTCAGTCCATCACACCCATTTGAGACTACAGGCATTGACTATTGTGGCCCCTTGTTAATGACTCAGAAAATCAGAGGCAGGGCTGCAATAAAAGTGTATATTGCAGTTTTCATCTGCTTTAGCACCAAGGCTATTCACTTAGAGGTAGTGCCTGATTTATCAACGGCAGCATTCGTCGCTGCACTTAAACGATTTGTGGCTCGGCGAGGACGATGTCGGCTTATCTACTCCGATAATGCAACTAATTTTATCGGGGCAAGCCGAGAGTTACGACATCTGCTTGAAGCATTCATTACACAGCAGCACATCAACTCGGTAGAAAACTTTTGCCGTGAAGAAGGAATCCTGTGGAAGTTTATCCCACCCCGATCACCACATTTTGGTGGTCTGTGGGAGAGCGCGGTGAAAAATGCAAAACATTATCTACGCCGGTCAATTGGAAACCACATACTCTCATATGATGAACTTCATACAGTAGTATGTCAAGCGGAAGCAATGGTAAATAGTCGCCCGTTGATACCGATATTGTCGGATCCTAACGATCTCCAACCACTCACCCCTGCACACTTTTTGATAGGGCGTACCCTCACCGCTATCCCCGAACCACCACCAGAATCAGCTCAACTCAGCCTCCTAAAGCGATATAAAATTGTCCAGTGGATCCAAGTGCAATTTTGGCAACGATGGCAGCAGGATTATTTGAAGGAGCTGCAGACCAGATGCAAATGGCAATCAGCACAACCCAATCTGAAGGTAAATGATTTAGTATTGCTGAAAGATGACTTGGCACCACCACTAAAGTGGCCGATGGGCCGCATCATCGACGTCATGCCAGGTGAGGATGGCAGAGTAAGAGTGGTACAAGTAAAAACCGCAGAGGGAATATATAAGCGCTCTATCACTAAGGTATGCAAACTTCCAACCGAATTTTCACCAACTGCAGAAACCAATTGAAAGCATAGCTTTCAAGGGGGGAGGATGGCCGCGCTCCCACCAGAAACTATGTTCACGCCGCCACTGTTTTCGTAACTGCATATTTATCGTCGAAAAACAACTGTCAATTATCTCATCTCAACATTTCCCCTACTAACTGTTTTCTTCGCTGCTAGTCAACTCATCGAATTAAAAACAAGAACAAAGGTCTTTACGCATTGCATTCGTAACATGCTTCCTATGCTCACACTGGAAAGCTCTCACCACCACCAACACCACCTGCTTCGTTTTAGTCGTCGTCGCTGCTAGCATAGCTCCAGCTAAAACCACTCAATTCATTGGATCGCAGACCACCGGACAAATTACACACTTCGCTTCGTACATATAGTTCAAAATTTATTATTTT